ATCGAAACCGGACGTCCGCATCCGATTGTGAACAGTCGGATTTCACGAACCTACGGGGGTTGCGAGTGGCACCCCTCCCTCCCTCCCTCTCTGTCTATCTGTCTCTCGGACTCGCTCAGTTCGTTCAGTTTGTTTACGCTAGAGCCGTGACGACCGGTAAAGTGCTTCTTCACCCAAATGCATGGAAGTGTAATATTGAATAGTCGACACGGAAAGGAGACATAGCAGGAGGTAGACGAAATAAGTCTACCGCCATCTATTATTGGACCTGTTGATAGCAGATCACCGAAGACTGTTTAACTCGATCGATGATCATGTGAGGGCGTTTTTAGCAATTTACAGTGTGTATTGACTGTGGAACGGAAGTTTACAAAAATAATAGGATACGGATAAGATAAACTGGACTGTTAAACTGTAGTAAAAAAATTTTGGAATGCATTTGTCCAAACAAACTATATTCTAGTCGTATTGGGTCAAAGTTTAGTAATAGAGTGCAAGTATTTATTCCACAACATTAGTACTGAAATCTTTCGCAACGACCGATTGGGGAAAAATGCTTTCCCGAAAAGCGATGCACAACTAAAGGATTATTTATTAGCATACGAAAGTTTCAATAAAATCAGGGTGAATGTCTAGGGTTTCGGTTGGTCATCTCCCCTTGAAACTCACGAAATGATTCCATAAGACCAAGCCTCTCAAATAGCCTCTGCTGACGAAGCTCTACTCACTGCCTTCCCCTCGATGGAGGTTTTCCCACCAAAGTGAGATGACTAAAAACTAACATCCGGGGTTAAATAACCGGGTCGGTGAACCACTGAAAGTTCATCTAGGGGAGTTGGTTAGAAGCCTTGATTCCAAACCAAGAGGGGGCTTACGAACCACGCACACATGTTCCTGTTTGTGGTACTGGTTCACGGCTGAATTGGGCACCTTGGAAGTTCGACCCCGGTCAAAGGGTGTAAGATCCGATGGACTAGANNTTATGTCTTGATGTCAAGACGATGTGATCGATACGTAAGCCTCTTGTCCAGGCCCCAACAACTGGAGAAAGAACACTGCTGAGAAAACGACAGTCAGAGTGTATTTTTGATCATGAAACAACAAGCAGATATATGTAGTCTGTTGGGCGTAAGCGAGCAGACGTGGTGACGCGCCAATCAGATCGTGACCTTGACACTCAGG